CAATGGAATCACCCGACCGAACAACTAATCGCGACCAAAGGTCATCCCCTGCTAGCAGCACGTATATTAACACACGCACAACACTGCCCAACGCACAACCACCAACCCACCGCTACGCACTACTACGCTCCACAATAACGCACTGATGATGTCACCTCGATTGGTGATGAAACGTTTGCAATCAAATTGCCCAGCTCAGCGAACAAGCCGACGACCACCATAGAGTACGGATGTTAAGAGCTCCTATGCGGAAAGTATCTCGTAGATTTAGCAAGGTGTTGCTTTGTTTGCTATTAGGCAGCGGGGTGCATTAGACCCATCGGTCAGATAACTGGCAGTCAAACGAACCAACAACGTTTGCTTGTGTCCATTCCCAACGTTGGGGAGGAACATCGGTGGACATAAAGCTGTGCGGACGAATGATACTTCGCGACCACCCAGGCCGAGGATCGGAGTTTGGTTGAGGTACCCTACCATGAGCCTTTGACTCAAAAGTCTGATCCACAAGGCAGAGGGGAAGTAGGATTTTCCTCCCCGGACCGAAGACTCAATAGCCTAACCTACTCGACCGCAGGGAGTTTATCTAGCCCGAGGGTTCAGGGAGTAAGGCATTAATTCTCACTCCTAATGCGCCCGTGTACAGCAAGTGTCTTTTGAGCAGCACCAGATTATGGTTTTAAAAGTATTTCGACCTTAATGAGCAATGCGCTGGTTACGATCAACCGTTGGGCGATCGGAGTATGCGGTTTTCAGGGCCAACGTTTTATAACGCATCCTTCCTAGGATGAAGGCAGCAGCGCTGCTTTCATGGATATAGACATACTGGTAGCCTGGGGAAAACAACTTACTGCCTTCACACTCTTATCGACTTTACTCCAGACCGCCTCGTAGCACGATTACCCGTAGTATGGGGTCTGCCTAATAGTGGTCTGACTACTCCCCCTCTGGACCTGCTGGCACGGTTGCACATTTTGGAACGAAGTTCCAGCCAATGTAGCTCGCGAGATCATTGTATCACTCAAGCCCGATCACCATGTCAACGTAGCAGGTTTAGCTAGGAACCCGGAACTTATACAACCTCCCAGGTAAACGAGTTTATCTAGTACATCGATTAGCTCATCTGCAAGCATGAGTTTTGGGTTTGATCTCAGTCAGTCTTGAAGCAGCACTTTACACCCTGAAGGTATGAAGAGCATGCTAAACCGTGCACCAGAATTACTCAGGTTTAGGTGGTTTACAATTTCGAAGGATATAAATCAAAAGACAGCAATATCATCCGCACACTCAATAAAAACATTTCAATCACAGGCACATACCTATGTGAGGACCGCAGGCTGTTTTATGCACAGTGCTAACTTCCGAAGTAACTGAAGTCGTTTGGCCGCATGGTGTCTTCCAACAGTGTGACAGCCACCAACCCAAACTGATCATATCACCAGCTACCGACGGAGAGCATTAATAACTGACTGCCGTTCGTTTTGAACATACTTGTGGATTACGATCACGCACTCGTTCAGGGTCGCTTCCCTCGTCGTTTTTAAAGTTTTGTAAAGTGCGGATAAATAGCTTAGCGACTGACAGACTTGTAGATCCCGAGGTTAGACGGGTTCATCTGAATCATCTTCTGAACTTCATCACCAAAGATGAATTAGTACAAGATAGAGATAGCCAAATCTTTGCACATCTGCGGGATTTGTGCCTGTGACACACTACTACCAGGTCCCCTCAAACACTAGATATCGAGGAGAACAGTGGCAATGCTTGAAAAAACGTTCTCGCTGGTCTCGAATATAATTTGGCCCGACGAGTTCCCAGATGTCAAGTGAAAGAAAACTTGCGCTGTGGACACGGAAGGCTAAGGAAATAGAAGTCTCAGAAAGCCGGGAACATTGGAAGATTATTTTAGTTAGGGTGTAGATCGGTTCCCGAAACCCGTTTGCGAGCAAAACCACCGAGGATCAAAGTGGAGGGACTATCCTAAATAAAGAAAAATGCCTCGACCGCTTGGCCTAGCACTTTGACCGACATTTCTCGTGGCCACCGGCTTCCTCGTCTCGAAGAGACTGGACCTTACCGTGG